TGCAGGATTCTATTCAGATTCCAGTCACCAGTATGTAATTTTTCTCCTAAAATGGAGTGTGTTTAATACAAACAAAGAGCAAAATGGAGATTTGTATCAGAGAGAAAATCACTTCAGAGATTTGGGGGAAAATGGGAATTTGGGGATATTTGCAATAACGTTAAAGTAGGTTTAAATTTACTTAATTTGTATGTTACTTTTCTATTGGTGCTGTAACTAATTAATATACATTCTTGGCATAAATACCACAAATGCATTTTCTTAACGTGTCATATCAGAAGTCAGACATGGTTCTCCCTGGTCTGAAATCACAGAGCAGCAGGGCTGTGCTCCCTTCGGTGGGCTCCAGAGAAAAGAGCCCATTCTCTCACCTTGCCAACTGTTTAGTGGCGACCAGAGTTGTTCAGCTTGGTCCCCTTCCTCTGCCTAAACCTGCATCGCTGGGCTGAGTCCTTCTTTCACTGTGTCCTTCAGACCTGCTCTTTTCAGTCTTTCTACTCCTGATGACCCTAGCGATGAAGCTGGCCCATCTGAATTATCTTCAGTAATCTCGTGTTTCATCACTGCTCTCTCCTGTGTAGCCTGGTCCTTGTTCCTTCCGTGCAGCCCCAGCCCAAGGCCAGGCTGGCGCCAGCAGGACTCCACCATTTCAGCTCTCCAGCCTGGAGAACTGTAGAAGAAAAATCACTACTATACTCCTTAGGAAATCTGCTTCCCCAACTGTCTTTCCTTACAATTCCTCTGTGCACAAGAAACTGTCTGCCATGAAGAACAGCCTACACAGCTGGAAGTCACCCGTGTCATCCAGGGTTGGCCGATTAACCTGAAACTTTTTGTGTGGAGCACAAGTTCAGGGCATGATCTAACCATATGCAGAGCTGTCACCCCACTCATGACCACTGCAACTCCACAAATGTCTCTGCTTTAAGAGATGGAGCTTTTCTGTGTCCTCACAGAGATGGTCCGATGTCCTGCTCTGTGAGGCCCGTGCTGCCCCAGGCAGGGTCTGAGCTGGAGGTTTAGGAAAGGAAAGGTTACCGCATCAGGAGGAGCTCTTCTGTCTCAGACCTTTTCCCATTCCAGTAAGGAGCAAATTTCTTATTAATAATGGTCCATGGAAGGAGGAATCCAAGCATTCTTTTCTCTTGGAAATACTTGCAGACTTGCTTAGTTAGGGAAATCACGTGAGGCTTCTCATTGGATACTGTCACTTGCTCAACATTGAGCTTGAGGCAAGTCATGTTTTATTTATAAATTGCTCCTTCCTTCCTCATAGGTCAGTTGCATGGGCTGCAGTGAGACAGTGAGAATGTGTGACATGTGATGATCTTTTTCCTCTCTTCCCCAGAGCCTGTGTCCCCTCCACTGATCCTAGTCAAGGCATTGTCCATTACACCAGGCTGGTGCAATGTCACCCTGGAGTGCAGTGCCACAGGGGCCACAGAGGACCTGAATGTGATCTGGGAGAGCAAGAGCCTCCCCTGGGAGCTGGAGCAGAGAGGGACACCAGGTCCTGGACCCAAACCTTGGGCCCAGGCTGTGAGCCTGTCCCTGAGCGACGCCGACGCCAGCCTTACATGTGTAGTCAGCAATCCCGTGGACCAGAACAATGCCACCTCAGACCTTGGTGACATATGCTTACGAGGTGAGTGCCACCTTCTGGAGGGGAGGGCATCCTGGACCTCAGGGAGCAGTGGAGTCTGGCGGCCCCAGACTTCTCTCCCTGCCGTGTTTGTTAGCACTTCACCTGCACTCGGCCACCCGTGCAGAAGTCTGGAGTCACATCCGTCTCACATCGGCCTGTAAATGTTCCTCAATCCCTGTCCTTCACTGCTGGTCCCAGCAGCAGCCATCCAATGCCTCTCCCACTCTGGGTACAGAGTGACCTTTGGAAAATCAGATCAGACTGTGGCATATGTCAGGGTCATCTCTGTGTCTGACCTCCAGCTACTCCTGTAGGACTCAGGGCTCACAAGTTCTCTGCCCACGTTGTCCACTCGTAAGTACCCTTCACACAGAACTGCTGCTGTATCCCCTGAATATGCACCACCATTGAGAGTCGTGAAGGTGTCAGCTCTTCTAGACAGCTGTCCGGGACAACCTCACACTTAGTAACTGTGCACTCAAGTGTTTCAATCCTACATAGAATAGAAATCCTGGAGATCAGAGTGACATGTTTGCAACTTTTCAATCCTCGTCCAAATAGATCTGGACAATGTGTGTGCGTTAAAGGGGTTTCATTAAATGCACAAAGGACCTGGGACCTGTGTGTGGCCTCCTCCTCTCTGACCTTTCTTCCAGAAGCTGCTGGAGAATCTAATATGTCGTGGTCAGTGTAACCCCTTGGCACAGTGTCCACCCACCTCCTATTCTGGATATTCCAACAAATCTCTCCACTGAGTATGGCCCAGGATACGCTCTAGAATCCCTTCTTTCCCTCCTTTGACCCTAGATAGTTAGTTAGTTACAGCTTCCCCTCCCTCTTGGAATAACCTAGGAAACACTCACTTTCTT